GCGCCACCAGCGCCTGCTCCAGACCGCAGCAATTAGGAATCCCGCCCCTGGGTACACACAGGACGTACTCGAGGTAGTTAACAATCCAGGCAAACAACAATAAAACAAACCACACAATAATAGCGGTTGGAGTCAGGACAAGACCCTGCGCTCTATCCATTGAGCTACACTGTCGTATTGGGAGGTTGAAAGGAATGTGACGTGGCGCCGTGTGCACACGCTGCATGCGGCAGTGCAACTTGGGAGGGTAATCCTAAGGTCTGCGCAGTAGCGCCGAAAAAAGAGCGAGTGAGGATTCGACCTCATTGTCGGGTACGACGTGGTCTATGTGTAACTGTGTATCGCCGACTGATAGAGAGATTATGGCCTGCCAAACGGCAGAATTTCATTGGAAGATGGTTGCCCTTGGTTTATTATATGTCAAATATGACGCGACTACGACAATGATTATCACTCGTCGTACTGTTTAACTCCGCATCACCGAAGAACTAGCGGTCGCTCCAGCAAACGCAGCAGAAAAACGAACAGCTTCATATCCAACAAAGCTGCCCCGAGTCCCTTGGGAGTGCAAAATGCATTCTGTGCTTCTACTAAAAGAGTCAGGGAATTGAAGCGTTTGGCTGTAGCAAATTGATAACAAGTGTCGAAATCAAAGAAAAGGCAATGATACTCCATCGAAAACGTGATTCGTGTTTGAATGTAGTACGATTCGTACTGTACGATCGAAGAACGATGATGCGCTACGAGCTCTACCAACTTGATGCTATCCAACTAGCAAATAGAGACATTGTTAGCGAGAACGCCAACACTAAAAAAGCTGAAGTCGGCAACAATACTCAATACTACAGTAGACAAACAACATATCAATAACAAAATCATCGTAGTACTAAGCAGCTTCCCAATTGCAACAGGAGCTAGTCGCTGTGAGCTGCCTACAAAACTGAAAGATCAGGTGACAGAAAAATGAGGACTAACAAGAGGCAATGATCAGACGTTGGACTCAAGCTCCCATATTTTCTTATTACTTTAGCCATCCAAACGCGGCAAAAGACGGCTAAAACCGCTTCACGAGAAGAATAATCGATCTGCCTGGTGTAAGCGCTGCTGATCGACGAGGTTGGCTGCTGATTGACTAGTTTCTTCACGTGGAGAGGCATTGACCCTTGCAGTGAGATGTTGAGGCAAATGCTCAGAAATTAGCTCACTTCGCTGATGCGGACGCATTATTAGGTATTCATCTGCGGGCGTGGACATATCTCCACTGAGCTCTGACGGCGTGGTTGAATCTTCATCTTCAGCTCGCGGGCGACAGTTGCTTGGAGAAAAACTTGCGGAGAAAGGACTGCTTGACGGCTCGAACGGCATGCGTCTTGCTGGCTGCGGTTCACTTGGGGATGATTGCGACCCGCGTGAATTTGAGCTGCGAAGGTTTCGTCGTGTACGACGGGATGTTGTAGCTGACGATTGGTGTCCGTGTGAGCATGAGCTGCAAAGGCTACGTCTTGTAAGACGGGACGCTGTTGAAGACGCTCGCTGTATACGAGGCGTTGCCGTCCTGAAACTTCTTGGAGTATATCGATCTAAAAACCTAGTTGGTGCCGAAGCATTGGCATCGTGTCTCGCGACGACGCCGACGTCACGGGCACCATTCATACGGCTCCTGTGTGTTGCTGAAGGTGACTCGTCGTCACTTTCGCTCGCATCGTCATCTACTTCGCTATTACTTGCATCTTGCCCTACTTTAATATAGTGAACACAGCTGATAGCATCCTTGTTTGCACATTTGAATACACAAACGCCAGTTTCTCGACTCGCTCGGGCTTAATTGGGCCATCGTTTGCTGTCAATAAACGAATGAGCACTCCAGGAGCGTTCGCTTGCTGCTGAGGACGTCGCAATGCTAAAGACACGGGTAGCAAGCGTGTACAAAACAAGGAGCTTCTTCCGGTAAATAAAAAAACCAATCCAAAGGCGCATCCACGGCATTTTCGGAGTGCTTCTCAGGACTTCAGCTCTCCTTCATCCGTACAAATCGTAGAGCCTCCTGCCAAAACGCTCGCGCACTCACACCCGAAGGTAATCCGACACGCAAAGCGAGGGCAACACATGCCTCAACGACCTTGATTAAGTCTGAATCCTCCAATTCAGCTATATGCTTTGACGGATCCAGCAAAAACGCTGCCAAAACGAACTCCCGCTGTAGCATTATCCATCGAGACTAAATTTGTCCGCGAATAATAGTGAGAACGCCTTCGGCTACGTCATCTGTCGTCATGGCGTCGATGCGGTTGTATTGCAGGTTACGAAAATAATGATAAATCATCAAAAGACAGCTCTTTTTCTTCTCGAGAGCATCTAGAGCCTTAGTTACTGGTTAAATCAGTCGTAATCCGGTACGAGCTCGAGTCCAAAAGTGACAGTCCACCAGTATTTTCTTGGGACCAACCGCCACGTCAGCTCAACAACGATATCCGAACATTTTGGATACATTAGTAGCAGTACACAAAGTTATTAACGGAATTAACTCGTATTAGGGTATTGATAGCGGTAAACGGTATTAACTCGGTAGTGGTTTTAGGGCGTCTCCACCGCGGGAGCAAAATGCTGCTGTGGCAGGAAACTAAAAATAAATTACCGCGGTCTCGCTCCACCGCGGGAGCAGAATAGCTCCAGCAGCATATGAGCAGCTTTCGCGGGAGCAAAACGAGCCGATTTGCTCTGAGTTTTGCTCCCCAGCAGCAAAACGATTGTCCCACTGAAGTGTCGTGAATAAACTATGGAAATATTCGGATTTCTGGGCACTTCGTCCGGACAATATTCGCGCCTCTCAAACATTTGCATTGCGGCACACGAAGACTATGACGTCCAAGCCTGGCGCGCGTGGGCCAAACTGGATAAGGGGTGAAGATCAAGCACTCGCGAAAGCATGACTGGCAGTATCTAGAGATAGCATTGTTGGCACTGACCAGTCTGGGCCTGCATTCTGGGAAAGAGCTACGGCAAAATACAACGAGACAAGGCCGCGAATCCAAGCCCGCTTTGAGCGCCCCCAAAACGCAGTGGCGAACCGCTGGAAGCCTTGCGGTAGGAAAATTTTGTGGCTGCATTGCTGCTGTCGAGCGACTGAAGCAGAAAGAATGATGAAGATATAATTCAAGATGCCGTCTCCATGTACGAGGTGGAGCAAAACGAGCAGTTTGACTTTTTGGATGCTTGGCGAGAGCGTCGCCAAGAGCCAAAGTGGAGAGCACTACCAGATGCTCGACCGTATCGCAAACGCGGCAGCAACCACCTTAATGAGCAACCAGAGAATAAGAAGCATCAATGCCTATAGTATAACGTACAGAACAAGCGTTAACACAATAATGGATAAGTAAGGGCGGACACGAGCTTACCTCGTCTTCCCTGTCACTAGCGCATCTCTCCAGCTCCTCATCACTCGACTCCATAGCGAGGGGGGGGATTGGGCCAGATTGGATCTGGAGCCGAAGAGGCGCCAATTTGCTTCTGCGCGGTGGAACTCAGCGTTTTTGCTACCGGCAGCAACTGGTCACATATAGGTTAAATTACACGTTTGCTGCTAGATTTGATGCTACGCGGTGGAGATTGCATGTATTTTTATTAAGCTATAGCTGAAAATAGCTACTTACGAGCGACCTTTACAAAGTTTCATATTAATTAGGCTGGACGGTCCAGCATAATGACCCCCGGCGCCCGGCGGCCCAAGCTTTATTGCGGCAATAGTACGGCCCAGCCATAAATTGGACCAAACGCTTCGAAAGAAAAAAAACAATATTTAAATAATTAAAAGGAAGAAGGCATCCATTTTGGCAGGCACCCAAACGCAGCCCCCATTTAACACGGCTTAATCAGTTTAATCGGTACTTGTAATTAAAAATAAATTACAAATCGGTTTAATGCGCACCAAAACGGCTGCTGTATGGCGACTTTCGGACATTTTCAGCCATGTGCTGAATCACGTCGCTACTTAAAGTCAGATTAGAATGGTCAGACAAATTAGAGTGAAGGGTGAAGTTGCACAAAATTTCCACCAATGAAAATATGTACGTGCTCTGATTGGATCGAAACCACGGTCTTGCTCGTTCCTAGGCATGACATCCCTCCCTATTTTGAAAATACACAGTCGGACGTCATAAAATAGATCCTCTATCGGACCCCCAGCCTCTCATCTTCAGCTACCATTGCAACAGTGCTGGCAATTGACTGTAAATAATAGAACGTCCAAATGTTTTAACAGTTTATACATTTTAGACGTGTGTTTAAACGGTTTTTACGAGAGCCAACAGGTAATTACCTGGATGAAGTTTAGCTTGCGTTAAGTAAGCTGGACTCTCCACCACAGGCCTTCTAATAAGAACAAAGCAGTATATCATTAATTCTAGGGACGCAAAGTTACGTTTAATCACGGCAGACGATGGATCCTTATGGTAATGCACGGCAGCATGGAGAAGTGTTCAAGCTGTATTCCAGCTGAAAACGAGCTTCACGGCAAGCTTTCACTGCCCGCGACCTCCAGAGCAAGCAATTTTCGTTGTAGCGAGACGCACAGCCAGGCCTAAGTGAGCAACGAGAATTTTTTATTGGAGGATGTCACCTATCTCCAACTGTACCAAGTGTCAACTGGTCCGTGCCATACGTGTACTAAACTTCTCTTTGGGCTATGGTGCAAACCCATACGTGTATTAATAATCTCTTTGTGTCGTGGTTTCCTTCTTGGTGTAGCCTCAGCGGGTAATGTCACTCGCCTCACTATCCGTCAATAGCAGGAGGTTCTAAAACCCAGGCAAGCCGCGAATTATTCTCTACCTGCGTGAAGCAATTCAGTATAAAATCTGATGGGTGGTGTTCGGCTGCCATTGGCCCCAGAAGACAATGCCAAGGATTTATTCATGAAATCACCCTAATTCGTGCCGAAGTATCGCTCAGGACCGTATGTACCATCTAGTTGTGACAAGTCCGGGCGGTGTTCGGCTTCGCCGATGTGGGAGGAAGCCGCGGTGGTATGCATCATGCAGCTGAACGCGAACGCGAAGCCAAAACCAGATCATTGCCGAATCCTGGTTAAGGAAGGTGAGCTCGACGTGGGTACCCAAACATCATATCTCCGAGAGAATTGCCAGATTCCCGCTACCAGTCGCTCAATTGTTTACCATACTGTTGCTGCGTGTAATTTGATAAAGATTGCCACTAGACCAGATTAATTTAATAGATCACACTCGATCTTTTCTTAGATAAAATATGCTTGCAGTTTCCGGTGGTAGTTTCAGAGCGCAGTCGGCATTTGGCATGCTTACTGTATCACAATAATCGAAAAACAAAGTATGAAGCAAAGCGTTGATCTCAATAGTGCGCGTGGATCCCGCTTCTGTAAACCTTGACAGAGCTACCTTTAAAATCTCGTTGAGCAGAAAGCGTCTGGTTTTTAGGGGCAGATGGGCAAGATACGTCTGCCTTGGAATTGAGACCTTAATGTATCTCACTGCAAAGGAATTCCAGATAACCTAAGAGGAAGGAAGATCAAATGGTTAAATATAAACAAATTGGACTTATCAGAAGCTAGTCTCGCGATATTGATAATGATTAGATGAGGGCTTGGTCGTCTTCTTTCTTATCAGAGCTACTGCAAATGTTTGCAAAGAATAAACCGAAGAATACGTGCGATTTAGCCTTGAATACGTGCTCCCGTGCCCGTAGGACCCGTGCTGCGACTACGTCTATGTCTCCACCTTGTAGTTCACACAACTAGTTGTGAACATGACGCAGAACGTAACGTCGTGCTACACAGAGTCAAGCTGAAAGCAGCATTCTGCTTCAACCAGAGAAACGTGCTTTGAAAGTAGTTTGAATAATGAGCCTTGAACACGATAAAGTAGGCTCCAATAGTAGTGCAATTAGTCGTCATGAAATCCGCTCTTCTTCGTACGCGTAGTTGTAATTGCTGCTGCACGTGCTGACGTTTTCAACGGTGAAAGTCTCCTCATTCTGGAGAGCGCTCTTCTTTCGTAGACGAGCCTCAAGCATAAAATCTCCGTACGCACGCTAACAGATATCGGTGAGGAATCTGGTGGTGTTGTAGAAAGCTACACACATTCAAACACTTGCGTCTAAGGACACAGGAACACAAAATAATACATTTATCGCGGTGATATCTACATGCTAGCCAGAGAAAACAAATCGACAAGGGTTACTTTAAGACCCCGAAGTCCTGGGAGAGTCTTTTCTTGCGGAAAATTCGGGTCGTTGTAGTTAAGAATAGGACGAGAGCGACGATCAACAGTGTCGTCTATACTGTCGACGGGCAGATCTCCACCTTCGTACATGTGCACGCTAGCACCACCAACTTCTTGCATGGTCACGTCTTCGGCTCGATTATCTGGGGCATCGCTCAATGTTAAGCTCGCCGAAGAGGCACCAGCCATTGCTGTCGAGTGCGATTCATCTTGAAGTTGTTCAAAACGCGAGCACCAGTATGAAATAACGCTATCAGGGGGCGTAGCTGACGCATCCATTGGGAGGCTGTCATCATTAGAGCTGTCACTTGCTGTGACGACATCAGTGGGCCCTGTTGCAACAAAACGCTGCTGGTGCGTTGTATCGCACCCTGAAAAGTCCAATCTTCGCGTAGGATCAAAACTGCCAGGTTCAAAACGACTTCGAGTACTAGTATCCAATACACCACTCGTAGTGGCAGGCGGCTGTCGTTGAACACCACGTGGCTGGTTCCGAGTAAAAGGCGGGATACTCAACGACAATGGCAGACGAGAAATGACATTCTGATGCAATGGTGTAGCATAAGAATCTCCGTTGTTGGTCCGGAATGGGCGCTCAGCTGCGTCGATAATACGACCGACGTATTTATTGCCCTCGCTATCTTCGTCTGTCACTTCATCATCAGAGTCTGAGCCGGTATCCTTCTCCTCACGATATTTCTCTCGGACGGCTTGCCGCATCATCGCGGCCTTATTAGCTTTATCCGCTTTCAGGCAATTACATGTCGGCGTGTGAATCCGTCCGACCTCGCTGAAATAGCGCTCACATGTTGCTGTATTTGCAGCGATTGACAGTACCGCAATAACAAGATCCGGCAGGTTGGATTTGGGCTTCATATTTCTTGCGTAACTCCAATATCTTACGACGTCCTCGAACTCCTCAGGTCTCAACGGCCTCTTATCTCTTTTAAGGTAAAGTTCACCAGTGCACCACAGATCCATGTGATCACGAAGTGTTCCAACATCACGGTCAGGAAAAAAACGCTGAAAGTAAAATACTGCGAAGTCACAGGCTGCATCGATGGAAGATATATCGGTGTACGGCAGTGCCTTGGCTGTTCCTACGTGAAAAGGGTGAAGAAACACCGCCAGCATGTACAACGGCTGTTCGCAGGCTTTCCAACGGTCTTCCACGAGATTGACAAGTGCGTTTGCATAACGATCAGCAAAAAAAACATCGAAGATGTCGCGATAACACAAGACGACGTCCACCAAGGTATTCTCATCGCGTTGGAGGATATAGGACGCGTTGCAAAGCGGCCTGATTGTTTTTTCTGCCTCTTTGAGAGACGTCCAGAATGTTTTGAGACCAAACACTTTAACGGCGCTGGGGAGATCTTTATACGTGTGATACCGTATTTCGAATTGCTGCAGGGATGTCTTTTTTTTTACTCGGAGTAGCGAAGCAAAGCAGCCCTGGATGGAGTTCCAACGTGTATCACAAAGCGTGAGCAGAGCAAGTGGCTTCTGGCCTCGCAGTTTGTAGGTAGTAATCATAACCTCTTCAAATCGTGGGAGCCACTTTGATGATGACCGATTTAGAGCCTTGACGGCCGCAGACGCTTGTCCTGCGATATCTTGAAATTCATGGATTTTTAAGACAGCCTTCACTAAATTGTTGATATCATGAGCAAAACACTTGCCGAAGTGTATAGTCGGCCAGCGCCAAGCCAAGATGCGCCGTGCACGCGCACATTGACCAGCATCATCAGTGATTACGGCTCCAACATTCCATCCATCATTAATCATTTCAATGAGGAGCGCTTCCATTTGTCGCGCGAGAGCGACTCCATCGTGCTCGGAGCCGACCGGCTTTAGCCCCTTGATGACCAATTTTCCAAACAAAACGAGATGAACCCCCAGTAAGTGCAGTTTGGCGATATTTTGCCACACATCACTTAGAAAATTTATGCGCCCTCCGGTTTTCTTCTGAGTAGCGCGCAGCTCTTCATCGCTTTCCTCGGCGTACTCGTTGGCATATTCGTCCAGGATACGACCACCAATAGTCCGGCGACGAGGAATTGACCCCACACATAGAGGATTCAGGAAGTAAAAAAGGCGTAGCGTTGCAGGATGTTCGACGTATGAATCCGGTAAGGCCAACGATACCTGAAACTCCAGCAAAAACCTCTCAAATTGCCGCTACTGGGCAGGCGTATACGCTCGCCGATAAACATCTGCAGACGAGCTACTCGTGGGTAGACACGTATAGCGATCGGGGTCGACATTGTCTTCGTTTCGATATTCTCGGCCCTGCTCGCGGCGAGGTGTCGGGTTAGCTGACGCTGACGGATAGTTTGAATGTGAAGTATTTGCGTGCGGCGGCAGGGGAGGGCGCTCTTGTAGGCGAGGTGTTTCAGGACGGAAAATGCGGACTTGGCCGTGTCGGGAAAGCGTTGGTGGCGGTGACAAAGATGGTGGGGGCCCTCGCAATATGTTAGCAGGTTGATCTTCCTCCTCAACAATATTGTGTTCCCTCAGAAGGTGCCTCGTGAACTTTTCCTTCCGCCCGACAATCGCATCAGGCAAAGGTGACTCAGGCTCTCGACTTGACGGGCTTTGGAGCTGACGTGCCTGCGCTCGCGCTTGATGAGCACGCAGACAATGCTTGCAGCGGGTCCAATAGTGGATCGAGTTTGCCCTTCGAGCTCCTACCTTCACGAAATGCTTACGAGCAGCGCTTGGTGGCCGGCCCATGAGTGATCTGATTTAGCATAGAAGCGAATAACAGTTAATAGGGATAAAGTACAGCACTGAATGTATCCTTACGTTTAGATGGCTCTGTGGACTGCTGAAGAAGGAAGGTTCTCGTCGTTGGAGTCAATTTGGGAACTGAGGGCTTTGATCTAATTCTCCACGTCGAGCAGGAGCAAATAGTCGACGTGAAACTAGTCTAGTGACACTGTAGCTAGCTCCATCGCGGCGAGTGTTGACTCAACCTCAGCCTGAGGAATCATCAGCGGTCCTTGAGTGCTTCTATTGGCAGGCCTCTTAAAACTAGGCTTTGTGTTGCGAGAAAATACTGACTACCTAAACGAAGTTTTGACAGCCGCCTAGTTGAAACCGGAAAGTTCCATACAAACCACAAGTGTAAAAGCTAACCACCGCCTGCGTGAAGCCCCAAAGCTCTTTAAACAGCTCTGGGTGTTGTCATTGTTCTATAATTCTCTCATTTACATGTAAGTGGTTTCACAACCGCCCAGCGCCTGTTCATTGTTCCCTTCTTCTCTCATTTCACGATTTCCGCTATGGCTCCACAGAAGAAGAAAGGGAAAGCTCGTACTCCACTACTCAAGCCTCGTCCGCTGAAGCTTAAACAAGCCAAATTACCGCAGTCAGAGCCACGTCAGCGATATCTTACGTCGTACGAGACCGAACTTGGGCTCCAGCCAGTACCCACTATTAGTAACGAAGTTTTAGAAGCACAATGCAAATTTTGTACAGCCTTTGGAAGGGAAGAGAAGCCAGCTTCTTCGACCGGGCCTTTTGATGTCCTGCTAGCGAAGGCAACACGTAAGAAGCCTGCAACTAAAAAGGTTTTCCGGTCTTTGAAAGATATGACCAAGTTTGGTCAGCTGATTTTGCCTTACAAGAAAAGACTGAGAGTCCAATACGGAAGTGGGGTGATCAGCTGCATTTGGATGCAGGTCCGTAAGTTGCGTGAAACGTACGAGCTCAACCCGGTTTTCAAGGCTTATGTCGACAGGTCTTACACCAAAGGTGTAGTCGAAGCATGGCGTATTGTGAACGGTTCTGGTGAGTATTCACGTTTAGTTTCGTTTGCGCTGGGGCTGGCTTCGATTCCACCCGGTACCCATACCGTGGAAGGTGATTTCAGCTCACTTAAAGGTGTCAAAACTGCCCACCGAGGATCGCTGACCAACTATGCACTTGAAGGTCAGTTGCAGGCAAAGCAATACTTCGATCTAATTCCCCTCGCGAGCTCCATTGCAGCAGAAACTCTCATCACAAAGTGAACTTCGAAGATTCTAGGCTTTTCATACATTTCACCATCTATCTAATACTATCATCAACATTGAATACCACCCTAGTTCGTATAGTAAATAAGGCACGAAAAATCCTAGTTGAGCATCTGCTAGGTTTTTAGGTAGTACTGCCTAGTTTTGAGAGGCCTGTCTATTGGGGTTGCTGCGGTATGGCTAAGTAGACCCTGAATTCAGTTTTGGTACACTGTGCCACGCGATTAGACGCTCCAATTTTCCATAATAACGTTTGTTCGTCGTATATACACTCAGGGAGGCGTTTTAACGCGTTTTGTACTTTGAACGTTTATACAGTCCTTGTCAGCACTGATTGCAAAGCAATACTTTAAGTAAAACCACAACCAATCGCTATGGGTAAGAAGCAGGGAGGTGTGAACACCAAGGTTGAAGCGGTTAAGGCCAAAAAGGCCGCCGCTAAGGCTGGCAAGGACGCCGTCAAGGCTGCTGCGGACGCCGCTGCCGAGTCCGCGGAATGGGCTAAGGGATCGGACGCGCGCGCTGACAAGCGTCGCCAGGAGGAGGAGCGCAAGCGCGCCGAGCAGGAGGCTAAGAAGGCCGAAAAACAGAAGCTATTGGCGCTGGAGGAGCACGCGTTGGATGAGGATAAGCACGCCATCCGCAAACAGAAGAAGACGGTCAAAGAGGTGGCCAAGCCCTGGGAGGACGCACTTAAGCCCGCAGTCAAGAAGAACAATCGCGGGTCCAAGAAGCCCTCAGCCTTCGCGGCGCTTCAAAACAACGGAGGCGCCAGTGAAAAGCTCACGCAGGCTGAGATGGCGGCGCTTAGAGAAGCCGAGGAGGCTCGCACAGCCGGAAAACCCGGTAAGAAGGCCATTAAGTTCGAGAACAACTTCCAAGCCAATAGAAACAGGAACCAGGATGAGCCATCGGATGCGCGCAGTTTGGACGCGGCGCTCGATTTACTTAGTGTGGGCGACAAGGAATTGGAGAAGCATCCCGAACGCAGAGCGAAGGCCGCCTACAAGGCCTTTGAGGAAGTTATGATGCCTCAGGTCAAGGAGGACTTCCCGGGATTGAAGTTGTCGCAGTACAAGCAAAAGCTTAGCGAGATGGTAAGGCTGCGGCTATTATTTCTTTCGTGCATTGCTGACAGGTGTTTGTGATACTGTATCGCTATGATTTTTATAGTGGCGCCGTTCTCCGGACAACCCCCTGAACCAGGAGAGTTTACGCTAAAAAGCCTTAGGAGACCTAAACCAATCTTTTTCGCGGTCTAAAATTACAGTTGCCATGGATTGTCATCTGTACGTCTTCGAAGTATTAATGCCTCTTAGCTCAGAGTCTTAGAGCATAAGAGCTGTAAATGCGAAAACGTTTTTTTTGTTTTAGCATGCCTTAAACGGTCACATGTGAATAAAAAACTCCCATTTTTATTCAGTCCAGATGGTGGCAGCGCACTGGCGAAACAATTTCTGAGATTTGAGTGCAACTTGTGGTCTAAACTTAGATTGAGCCGAGGAGGCACGAGAAAAAAAAACCAACGCCAGCTCTGACGACTTCTAATTCGGGACTTCGCTCCATCGCGTCGAGGGCGACTACACACAAAGGCGGACTAGTGAGCGATCTTTCGTGTAGGTTCAGCGTCTGTTGCAGCAGTTTCTTCCATTTTGGAGCGAAAGTCTCGTGACGCCAGCCAGCCAGGCTCTCAGTTTAGTTCAGAGCCCTCCCAGCACGCAGGCGAGCGAACTGGTCTCGTTCACTACCAAATACAAACCCTCACAGCACCCAAAGCAGAGACCATGACGGACGCAGAAGGCGTACAGCAGGAACTACAGGACTACCTGCACAAGAAGGGCATTAACACGCTCTTCATCAACCTCGTGGAGTCGCTGCTACTGGCCAAACCGGAGAACCCGATTCTGCACATCATCCAGTACCTGCACACCAACTACCCGGAGGAAGCCACGCCGCGTCACAAGCCCGGCGCAAAGGATGTTAACCCTGCCTCACCACGCTCGCAATGTACGCGACGGTTTTGAGTGCTAACCCTGGCAGAGAGAGGAGGGTATCTAACCGAGGGGTCTCTTGTCTGTGTTCACTAACAGATCACTCAGACGACAGCGAGAGTGAGGACGAGGACGAGGGTGGAGACGCCGTCGGTGAGATCGCTGCCAGCGTGCCGCCACCCAAGATCATGGCCAAGGGACGACGCACTTCGGTGTCCGCTGAAACTATTGACCCATTGAGGTTAGTGACGGTAGTGGTCCCGTCCTGTCTGATGCTGGTTGCACTAACTTGACCCTCCTTGTTGTTCTGAATGTGACGTGACAGTGCTCGCCAATTCGAGCGTGTGGTGCATCCCAAGTCTGCAGAGGAGAGGGAAGGGATCGGTCGCATGGTAGCCGAGAATATCCTGTTCAAGTCGTTGGATGAGAAGCAGCACGATATCGTGCTCGACGCCATGTTCCCAAAGGAGTTCGAGCCCGGTGACATTATCATCAAGCAGGGAGACGACGGAGACAACTTTTACATCCTGGAGAGCGGCGTCTGCGAGGTCTACAAGGACGGTGTGCTTGTTCAAACGGTGTGTACCCATTTTGATGTAGTAATAGTATTTTTTGTCTTATACTGTGATGCTGACATTTTGCTTCACCTAATGCAGTGTACCGAGGCGATGTCGTTCGGTGAGTTGGCACTCATGTACAACGCTCCACGTGCTGCAACTGTGAAGGCTGTGCAACACTCGAAGGCATGGGCATTGGACCGACAGACGTTCAAGTTCATCATTATGGAGACGACATTGAAGAAGCGAGAGGCACACAAGGGTTTCATCGAACGTGTGCCACTGCTCGAGTCATTGAGCGAATACGAGCGTCTGACCGTCGCAGATGCTCTCAAGACCGAGACGTTTAGTGACGGCGAAGTCATTATCACACAGGGTGATGACGGTAACCTGTTTTACATTATTGAGGAAGGCGTGGCAGTGTGTACGAAGCAGCTGTCGCCAGCAGACCCGCCTGAGGAAATGGGCGAGCTCACGTCAGGCGCGTACTTTGGTGAGATCGCACTACTCACGACCCGACCGCGCCAGGCAACAGTGACTGCTAAAGGCAAGGTCAAGTGCCTCATATTGGACCGTAAGACGTTCAAGCGAGTTATGGGTCCGCTAGAAGACATCCTGAAGCGCAACATTGACAAGTACAACTCCGTCATCGCCAACAACATTTAAGCAGGAAAAAAGCAGGATAGCGCACAGGCGCACCAATACATTTATACACGCCTTCCAACCATTGTCACGATTTTCGAGGAGCAAGGGACGAAAGGATCAAGTAGCAGCGCGCTGCAGACATCAACCTGTACACTGTCATGTAACTCGTCAGGCGGGGGTGATGTTGATGCAGTTAGTGTGACAACTGGTAGTGTTCTCATATCGTCCTCTTGCCGACTACTTCCTCTGGTCGGAAATGATCACGCGAAACCGACAAAATGACCAATCGCTTCAGCTCTATTTATCCAATACGGCATCTGATTGGACCAAACGGAAGCCCTGCACCTCCTCTTTTTAAAGCCACCGGTTGTGCGTAGAACGGACTTCTATAGCCTCTGCAATTTCAGTTTTAGCTCTCAAGGTTTCAAGCCTCGCCTGGAGTGCGACCCGCCACGCCTGCGCTACGCTGTTTCTTCCTCTATAAACATGCCGAAGTCCAACCTTATCGACAACGAGTGCAAAAGCCGTCATTGACGAGCTTCTAAAGATCAGCAACAACAGAGAACTACCCCGTGAAGCGTTTGATGTTCTTATGAGCCGACTTCCGGACACCGTGAAGTTAATTGAAGCTGTACAGCTCTGCAATGACGGCTGGTGTCGTAGGGGTGAGTGACTTAACCGGCTTAAGAAGAACAGCGGCAGAAAGCGGAAGAATCGAGACGAAGTACGTGACACACTGAAGAGCATTCCTATCGGGGATAGAGCAGTTGAAAGACGTGTCAGTTAGTATGATAGGTTTTTTCAAATTTATATCGAGGATTGAACAGTTGAAAGACCTATCATACTAACTTCGCGTGATCATTTCCGACCAGAGGAAGTATGATTTACTACAGTAGCATCATATTCATTCATTTTTTTCTCTTATCTAACGTTACAACAACGGTCTTTTTAAGGACACATGCAAGGATAACGTTTGGAAACTGGACGACTTACGTATTGATTTCGTATCTGTCGTGTCTTGCTGCAACTTCGATGCACTATGGTCTACGTCGCTTACTCCTCCTGTTTCTCCTCCTTGCTGTTGTCCTTGCCCTCCTCTAGCATCTCCACAACCACGTTTCCGTTCGTGTAGACACAGATGTCAGCGGCAATCTTCATAGCCTTGCGACCGATCGTCTCAGCGTCCAAGTCCTGGTCAATCAGGGCGCGAGCGGCAGCTACAGTATCCACGACACAATGGTATTGGTTATCTGCTATTTAACAACAAAACCGGTAGCAAAACTGCACGTACCCAGAGCGTAAGTGCCTCCTGAGCCGATGCCAATGATGCCATCATGAGGCTCCAACACGTCTCCATTGCCAGTGAGCGTGTATGATTGATTAATGTCCGAAACGATCAGGATAGCCTCCAGACGACGGAGGTACTTGTCCGTTCGCCAGTCCTTGGCCAGCTCCACGCATGAGCGAGTGAGCTGACCGGGGTACTCGTCAAGCTTGGCCTCCAGGCGCTCCATGAGTGTGAAAGCATCAGCCGTGGAGCCAGCAAAGCCTGCCACGATGTGCTCGCCGATGCGGCGCACCTTCTTGGCGTTAGGCTTGACCACGGTGTGACCCAGCGATACTTGGCCGTCTCCGATCAGACACTAGTAGTAGAACAGCACAGATTAGGAACTGTATCACCTTCATTCTAGCAGGTATTTACAGCGTACCACTTTGCCGTTCTTTCGGACGCACAGGATCGTCGTGCCGTGCATCTAAATACCCATTACAATCAGCATAAGTGAGTTTTTGGTTGAATTAAAGCAGCATTTCGAGGCAAATGATACCGTGGGGGCGTCGGAGAAGCGCGCAACTTGAGCAGCAGCGAAGTTGACAGGCGCGGCAGCCAGTGACGTACTGCGAACGCTGGATGCGGCTCGGAACAGCGAGCGGGCAAGCATCTTACTCTCCTCGTGTCAAGTAAGGGCGAATGAGCAGAGCCTTTGACAATCAATGTTCGTGTTGCACGAATGTAGAAAACTTGATTTCAAAAAATGTTACTTTTACCGGTAAGTGAAAAAGCAGGATAAAATACAGGATACGACTTTTGGGATTGCATACCGAACACTTGATTACTGCGGTTTTATGAGTTCCTCGTACGCGACTAGCGGCCCGCCCTCTTCCGGCGGGGGTACTGCACCCACGTCATCTCCACTTCCCCCGTCTGTGCAGCCAACTCTCAAAGGTGTGTATCTCTCCTTTCGTCAGCTCCATGCCTCTACGATGGAGTATATCGTAACTTTCGTAATTGTCTCAATCTTCGCAGTGATGCGGCTGTACAAACCCAAGCTGTACGTGCAAGGTGCCAGCGGTGGCTCCATGCTACCTACATCCATGGACGATTCCACTGCCACGCAGCACGAGTTCGCACTCTCCAGTATGCTCATCTTACCCGACAGCTTCGGGTGCGTTGGTCTTCTGTCCGCGTCATTTTTTTTTCTTGACTGTAATATTTCACCCCAGAGAAATCTTCCTAGGCAACACATTCAGCAGCTACATCAGCGTCATCAACCCCTACACCTGCGAGTTACGAGATGTGGGACTCTCGGCCAATATTCAATGTGCGAACGACCGCGTGGAGCTGCACGATAACCGGTACGCCCGCACAGGCAAACTTCCTCCTCCTAATCCCGTGGCAATGCTACCTGCTGGCTCCAGTCTGGATATGGTAGTGGACTACCCGCTCAACCTAGTGGGGAATCACGTTCTACGAGTCGGTGTGGCCTACGTAGACCCCGTCACGGGCGAGAACAAGTCGCTCCGGAAATTCTACCGGTTTGCCGTGCAGAACCCACTGGTAATCACCTTCAAACAGAACTCGCCGGCGTCGCAGCAACACGGAGAGGCCATTGTGGAGGCGCAGATCCGTAATGTATCCAAGTTGCCACTTTTTGTGGACAGTATCAAGTTTCTACCGCTAGCGCCGTTCACATCGGAAGAAATGGTCGTAAATTCTGGTGGCAACAGAGGAGAGCGGCCGTCAATTAAGGAATTGTTGTCTCTAAACAACGGCCCACAGACACTTGTGTACCCCCAGGAAGAGCTCCAACGAGTGTTCCGAGTGTGGTATGATCCAGCGTCAGATCCATCATTATTGACGACTCAGGTATGTTATTTAAAAACACACTGCTTGACAAAAAGTGTGTGTTTCTGATATATCTTTTGCATGTACATTGTAGGGCTCCCAGAATCTGGGGCGACTTCATGTGGGCTGGAAAACGTCAATGGGTGAAGCAGGCTCCGTACAGAGTCAACCGGTGGTGCGGAAGGTTCCGGGGACTTCTGGAGGTGGGCACAGCGAGGTTCTAGTAGCAATGCAGGAACTTCCTACGGAGGTTGTGGTTGGACAGCCATTCTTGGCTGCTATATCTGTGACGAACAATACCACGCGGAGTCTGGCGCTGCAGCTACAGTTTCGTAAGGAATTGATGCGTGGAATTGTGTGCTCGTCCGCGTCACATCAGGTATGTTCGTGAGATTTTCTCTAAATTGTCTGGAAGCGTACCTAACAATTTTGATGTCGTCATGCCAGAACCTTGGCTTGTTGGAAGCGCAGACGGTGCAGACAGTGTGGATCGAGCTCCTTCCGATCGTTGGTGGGCTTCAGGTCGTGGGCGGCCCCGTGTGCGTTGACATCCAATCAGGGCAAGAGTTCACACAAACTGCTGCACTAGCACACGTATTGGTTGGGCCAGGTTCGCTCTGTAAGACTCTTAAATAGGTGAAAACGCCGTCTATCCAACGTTTAACTACTAGTTTTCACAGTCTAGTTCGTGGCTAATTCACATTACACAGCAGAGACTGGCTTTGTTCCGCTCCGGATACGACGCGAGACAAGTGAATTCGATCTCTCCGGCTAGAAACACATCTCCAGGGTTGATATCGACGGCATTGTCGTCTTCGAGACGCACAAACGTCCCCCACTTACTCCCGTTGTCGTACAGCCAGTACCGACTGTCGTGGTATTCAATGACGGCATGTGTACGCGAGACATACCGGTCGTTCAGCTCGATATCAGCGCCGCTGAGCAGTCCTCCGACAGATGCCACGTTACGGACCACGTGGATATCTCCGCGTTGTGCCCCCGCTAGCACGTACAAGACCATTGCGTTGGATATCTGTGCGTCATTCTGCGTCTCCTGCACTATCTGATCCAGAAGCTGTTTGTTGCGCTTCTTGCGTCTCCATCGATACACTGCAGTGGAATCTCCTTCACCGTCGGACCCGTCCAGCGTGTCGTAGTTATCGTCATCACCGCTGCCATCAGAATGCAACGCACTGGTCACTACCTGGGAGTCGTGTATTCGCCTTCCTGACTTATTTCGCTTCATTGGAGACGGCATCTGAGCGGCTAAAGGGGCTTCGGATCCAGCACTCGGGGTGCCTATTGTCATACCATCGATCAAGTGTACTAGATGGGCTGCAGCTATGAAGTAACATTCAACGGAAGAATACGCTTTGAGGCGGAAAGACAAGTCACCGAAGTCCAGTATCGACGGAGAAGAACTTGAGCCCATAGCCACTACTGGGTCTTGGAACCTCCACCATTCGATTGGCTCATCTTCTGCCTCGTCATGGACATCGTCGACGCCTTCTGCGTTTGTTTTCTTCAGCTTCCGACGTTGTTTTTCGTGTTTACTTCTCACGATCTGAGCATTCCCACGGTTGAGTACAAGAAGACCATCACGGATCTGAAACGTGTCTACAGCGAACGTAGCTGGTACGAACAGCTTCCCGTCTTCGAATAACGTCGACCCAGCAGGATAGACGACGACTTCGGCCTGGGCTGCCAGTATTTGCATCTCTCGGAGTAGAATCCCCTGTAGCCAAGGTACACTAGTGCACGCAGCACGGATGATCCTGTCTCGACGTCGATCGTGCTTTAAGTGAGCGCGTATTACCTCCATGTATAGCTCGAGATATCCGCAGACATCTTCTCTCGCCAGGGCTAGCAGCTCACACGCTGCAGTTGCTCTCGCCGTGTCGAGATACTCAAGACCGCCACCATGCGGCCTTAAAGTGCACGCTTCGAACGGGTCCTCCAAGCTCACTTCTCCGAAGAACCCTCCAGTTGTCACTTGCTGGATCAGAGTACCGGACGTGCTGGCGACATGGAGATCTATCTCCCCGCTTATCACGATGAAGACGACGTTCGCGGCGTCTCCTTTCTCGTAGACCATGTCACCTGAACTCAACGTCATCCGTTGGCCACAACGTGCAACATTCGCGATAGTTTTTTCGTCGTTCACGATCGGCTGCAGCCACGACATGGCACTCAAGAACAGAACGTGTTGTTGCTCTATCGCAGCTGAAGTTTTGGTAGCCGAGGAGTTCTTCACACAGATGACTTCCACTTCACATCCTCCACACCGGAAGACGCACCCTTCAGACAGTAGCAGAGGTTTGCTCGTGTGCTTGACTATCTCAGCTTCAGTGTCGTCTGCGTTGTCAGCTCCAACTTCGTCACGCCCAATGAGGAAGTAGGTGCCAGCGTTGAGTCCTGTGGGCTTAGACGTGATCATGCAGGTGCCACGCTCGAGTTGGACACTAAATTGTTCCGTCGACAACGACGCAGTGAAGACTTGAGCGTCGCAGTCTCTGCCCTTACCGAACGTGACAGGTCCGCCACTACTGCCGCCCCACCCGCTACTGCCACTGGATGCTCCAGAGCCAGAAGCAGAGTGCAATCGGAAACCTACAGGAACGAACAATCCTTTTGTTCGTGGCTTTCGTTTGGACAACCGTAAGACGTCCAAGCGCATGGCTGCCTCCTTCATATCTGGACGACGATCCGAGTCGAACGCTCTCGTCACAGTTGTTACGTACAGTGCGCATGTACCGAGTAACAGCCAGTCTCCGCGCGTAACTCGCACGGGTCTTTGCGTAAGCAAGACGCGTGTTTGTCTCTGTGGATCTCGTTCGAAAGAGACGTCCTGCAGTACGAACGATGCGCCGTCAAACGAGATTTTAGCATGAACAGCACTGATCTTGATGCCTTCGGACGGGAGAATACGGACGTCGCATGCAGTGGAGGACCCGATGAGGTATGTTGCTTCACCCGGTAGCGTTACTTCTCGAGGATTCACAGACTCTGCGCTTGTATTCGTGGGGTCGTGCTGGAAAATGACGAGGCGAATGGAGGAAGACCGACGCGGTTTTGTGTTAGACTCAGGTGGATCATGTTCACTTCCAACAAGTTGCTTGATCATATCGTCGTCGGCGTCTTCGACTTGGGATGGCTCGTGATAGTGAAGTTCCTTGACTTCTGGACGTAAGTAGCGACTTCCCAGGAACACAGTTCCATCGGACATGAGTGGAGGTGTGTCGTTAAATCGGACACTTTTCTTCGATCGCACTGGTAAAGTGTCCTTGTTGTCGCCGGATACTTCGTCTCCTGGAGTCACTTTTGAGAGACGTCTACCGTCGTCGTTCATGAGTTCATCCTCGATGTCGGCAGCGAGAAGACGGAGCTCCTCGACGGTGGACATGCGCTTTAATACTGGTCTAGACGTTCCATTGCCTATGCTTCTAGTGCTATTTGATCTCTCAAACTTGTCGGATAGTGACGTGGATTGCTCTGTTGCTATAGTCAGACTGGAACACGAGTTCGAGCGAGACTTGTCGCTTCGTAGTGAGGTTTGATCGGTTGTGGTCTGCAGGTCTACAACTCGAATAGAAGTAGTTGGACCGATCCGAAAGACATCCCCGCGACGCAGACGAAAGCCATCTCGTTGTGGGAAGTGACGGAATTGTGTACTTAAGCAAAGGAACGTGCCTGATGTGCTCTGTGCGTCGCGTACAAAGTAGTCGTCACCAGCTACGGATACTTGGGCATGTACAGCATCCATCGACTTTTCTCTCGTGGCTACAATCGTTCCTTCTCCAGGTTCTCGGCCGATAACTCCTGATCCTAAGAACCAGGATTTCTGCGACCTGGTCCGGCCACCGTTTGTTGAGCGAGGTAGCACGATACAAAGCTCTTCCTTCGCGCGCAGTCTCCGTCGTGGCTTCGTTGCTGTCTTTGCAATCAGCGTATCTGAAGTCAGCGTTGTTTTTTCTTGTTGTATCCCGGAAGATGTTTCTTCTTTGAAGGAATCACCCGACGATGTAAATCTGCGCGTAAAACTCCGTTGACTGCTCACGGAGCTTTGACTGATAGCAGATCTCTCGAGTTTAGCTCTGGTGTTACTTGACTTTTGTTTAGTAAAAAAATGTGGCCGCTCTGTTGGGTTGTTGAGGAAAACGATGTTGTCATTGGGGTCAGTTTCCACAACTGGAGAAGGTGATGCTGTCGATCGTTGCTCAGACACTCGAAATGAATGTAACGTAGCTGGAGTTACCGTGCGCCTTTGTCTCCAGAGAAGTTGCAGACGTGTAGGTGACCTGACAGGCACATTTCCAATCCCTTCTTCAGATGCAGCACCTGCATCTGAGGACGTTGCTCTACTCGATCTGTAATTTGTTATCAGGGTATTTCGTAGCGTTCTGCGTGGTTGAGAGGGCATCGTATCGACTTTAATTACACGGCAACCCGCCACGATGTTGTAGCTGTTCTCCTATAGAGCAGAATCAGGTCGTGAAACGCTATCAATAGTGCTGGATGTCTTTTCTTAATCATCGACCAGAATACTTTTTGTCGTTCCTTGGTTTTATGACCCATTCATGCTATGTGAGCTCCATTGTATTTATTATGCAGTTTACATTGCTACTGTTTGGTAGAACCAACAGCCGTTCTTGTGACTCGGTGTGATAAGAAGAAATCTTTATTTGCAGTGCTCGTTCTTCCTAGTCCAAAGATAGATGAGCATGGTGTGGCCTAAATCGCTCTCTAATTACTGCTGGCACGACTGGTCGATCACCTTGTGAATCAACCAGTGCAATCGTGAGAAGACTGTTGACTCATGCCGGCCGACGCCAAGGGTGATAACGTATTACGTGAGATTGTCTACACGCTGGTACCCGCCCAGCCGCTTCCTGTAGTTGACTTGTCCAAGTCTTTTCGAGGTCGACTATTGCCGGCGAAGGTTCACACTTTCATCCGCCGCAAGTACTACAAGCACTACCGACCTGTCTTGGTGTGCGCTGTATTATCATATTGTTTGAATGTACTAGTTCCACTCGTCGAAGCACGAACCGGGCGCATGACTGCTGTATTGGCGGCTCTTCTGTGGATCCCGATAGGATTGGGAAGTATCACAACGTTGAGATACGATATCGTGCGTCTGGTGTTCCGAACTTTCGATTTCTGGTTTTTCTCCGCAATCACGACTACAATTACCGTCACAATGTCGATGTATTTTGGAGATTTACGCTCCGTACGGATGTTAATCGATTGGATTGGATACCACCACGTCGTTTTTGTTGATGCACATGTGCTGGGTCTCCGAAGTCTCACTTACATCCTGATCGCCACGATATTATCGGTTTGCGTCGTGCTTATCTGTATTTTGCTCGGGAAAGTAGATGGAGGTTCCACGTTTACGATTGTGAAGTACGAAATTCAGCAAAGAACTTTTGAATTGTCTGGTTTGGATGTGATCGGGAATGGCATGGTGTCACTAGGATTTCTTGTCGCCAAGATCGTTTTTCGAAGGCGTAAAGTACTTCGAGTGAAGAGAAGAAGGTCTTCGGGGATGGTAGAGTGTGTTATTTATCGATGTAGGCTCAAATTTGAGCGGAGAGGCGGGCCTTCCATAGCGTTGGCGTGGCCAAGTGAAGATTCGAGATGTCAGTCAAAAGAATCGTCACTTCGTGGTCCTGACGAGATCCAGAACTTGATGTTTGTCAGGTTCCCACTGACGATTCAGGCGAAGAACACGCTACTACCGTGCTGCATTCCACAACAAGTATCTTTTCCTAATTGGCTTCTAGCAATATTGTACGCAATTGGAGCAGTAGGGCTCATACTCTCGCATATCTCCGGGTCCGAACTCTTCGCAACACAAGAAAAGCACAAGTGTCTAGTACCATTTATTGCGCTACTGTGCACCGCCACATTTACTGGTCTCTTTGTCGTCTTCTACCAACGCCAATTGCTAAAACTTCTTTTTACCTCGTTCGACTTCGCGTTTTACTCGTTTCAAATCACCGGTACAGATATCGGTGCTTGTATCCTGTACAACTGGAATACTTCGCGCTGTCTTATGATACTATCGTGGTGGCTATGGGCTCAGTGGGCGTTCACACTAGACGCATTGACCCCGACCACACGAAATATGCTCAAGTTCCAGGTTCGCTTCGCCGCGCCCGTGTTGTGTCTTCTCCTCTTCGATCATCTCCGTATAATATATCAAATTTTTCGAACTGGAGATACCGAACTACGAGACTCAGTCATGATGGAAGGGACCATCTGGGATCATCATTTGGTGCTTCGTGTGGTACCGTTTTACATGAGTCGATCTTTGACGCTCTCGATTTGGTGTGTGCGGTTGAATTCACGGCTGGCCTCAGCCTGCGACGGTAATGTATCGATTCTTCGAGGTACAGTCTCGTACGATAACATTTTCTCGAGAGGAAGACAGAGAAGCTCACATATGTCACAAATCGTCGAAGTCAAGACATTGGCATCCGCTTTATCTCGACGCACTAGAGTGTCACCGGCTACGTCGTTCTGCCAAGAAAAGCCAAAATGAATGCAAATATCAAATATAGCTTCAAGCAAGATTTTATTTGCTACTTTTAAATAGTGTAGGAGTAGAAAATGCTCGTGGGATCCAGAGCCCTCGCTGTCCTCATATATGCTCTTGAACGGCTATAGATTTATCCAGATCCGTCCGAGGAGAGCTTCTTCCAGCGACAGTTCACAAAGCTAATCATCGTTCTCTCTTCGAGTATCACCGCTCATTATTACTGGCGAATATGGTCGGGATGGTGATGAACACCGTTGTTATAGGAGTCGGCTCTCGATCCGGACAAATTCTGGCAGTAATTGCCTTACGATATGGCTTTCCATGGGTCTCAGTGCTTCGAGTACGCTCAGATATGACATTGCACGCCTCGTTATGAAGACGTTCGACTTCTGGTTCTTCTCGTGTTCCACAACACTCCCAGTCTTAGTTACTTCTGGGATCTGCGTGTCTGCAGAATGATGATCGACTGGATCGGTATCCAGAATATCGTGTTTATTGACGCCCAAGTGCGAGGAATTCAACCTTTTATTATCGTCACTATCCTCGGTATTCCACCACTATTTTTTTTATGTTACTGTGGATCATGTTAGGGCGTCTAGACGGTTGTGTTAGCTTCTCGGTGCTTACTCACAGCAACAACCACGCGCGTTTCAGTCTCTTCGGAGTGGATATCATTGGGACCGGAATGATTACCTTCTCACTCTTAATCAATAAAATCGTCGTTAGGAAGCGTCAGACACTACAAATGAGGCAGAAATCGTCGATAATTGATGGAGCTTTTTGGTGTGGGTTATTGGACCTGCTCGAAATTGAGTCTGTATCGATAGATTACACACTCAACACGAAGAAAACACGCTGTCGCTGCGTCCCACTCATCTCAAATAGTTCATGAGCCGAGCATGATCCAATGATCCAACACATGATGTTGATTAAATATCCGGACACATTCGACTCAACCCACGTTATACTGCCTCTGTAGTAATTACGGGAAGTAGTCTGGTGCAGTTGTACGGTATTGATATCATTGCTATCGTCTTGTCCTTTTCTACTCTTGTCTGTGATTTTTCGTACCACCCACGCTAGTGTTGTCTTCACACAAGCATGGGGTGCTTTATTCTGTACCGTTATCTTCGTGATGCTAATCGTTGCTACTAGCGAGAGCTGCTCAAGCTTCTCGTTCGACTTTTTCTACTTCGTTTTCCAAGCTACCACAGCCACATTGTATGTCCGTGTACTTTATGAGTGGGAACGTTCACGGTATCTCATGTTGCTCACATGGTGGCTATGGAGCTTGTGGGCGTTCACTTTGGACGCTCTCACTCCTGCTATGAGAGAGAAGCTGCGCTTTCGACCAAGAATGGCAGCTTCTGTTGTTGCTCTGTGTCTTCTAGGACACATTATTATCATTGGCCATTTCTTCTTTGTGGAAGACGATAAATTACACGACGCAGTTCTCGTTCAAGGAATCATCTGGGATCACCACCTCATCGTCCGTGTCATGCCCTCCTACTCCAGTCGAATCGTGACGCTATCGCTGTGGTCTCCTCGTCTGGTCTGGAGACTTGGAACTGCGTCAATGTCCGATGTTTCCATTCGTGGCTGAGTTTGCTACGACAAATACTTCGCACAGATGACGTTCGCGCACGGTCAACCAAAGCTGCTCTTTCGAATTCCGGAGCCCGAATTGGCCCAAAGTAACAACATTTCGACCATAAGAGACATTGACCGAGGCCATGTATGTAGCTTAGCCACTTCACATGTCAGTCCAACCAAATATACAACACTTTCGTTCACGCATGACTACACCTTTAGATGTTACTTCGGTTACTTCACTCCGTTTTGGTTTACACTACCGCCAGTTAGGATTGGCAAAGGTGTAGAATTGCGGCAGCTGGTGCTATCGCTCGATATTTCTTATACGTCTTCCAGCCAGCAAACCCATTGCCTGTTATCGATCTGTCCAAGTCTCAAAGAGGGAACCTCCTTCCGACAAAAATTCACGAGATTGGTCTCAGCAAAAATCATCCGGCTTTAATGGTAGCAAATACTTCTGCTTTCGTCTTGATCAGCTTCGTGGCAGTAGTGAAGGCGCATACTGGCCAGATTCTATCTCTGATTAGTTTTTTTTTTATCTCTGGATGCCACTCGGGTAGGGGAGCTTTCAACACTGCTGCTTATAGGGACTTTCGACTTTTAGTTCTCCCCCGTTAGCACAAGCAGGATGGCTGTATTGGTTTCGCGCACATCAGCGATCTGCGGGTCCTGAGAATGGAGTATCGACTGATTACCACGTCGTTTGCATCGATGCTCACGTCCGAGGTGACGGTCAATTCGCGCTGATGACGATCGTCGAAGTTCCACCAGTTCTCGTCTGGGTCATGTGGATGGATGCACAAGCGTCTCCATCTTAGAATTCTCCAGCGTGCATCACAATTTCCAGCTCTCTGGCGTCGATATTATCGGGAATGGGTTGTCGACGCTAGCTCTGTTCATCACTAAGATCGCAGTGAGGAAGTGACGTGCATTAAAGATAAACCAAAGATCATCGTCGACTCCATCAAGTAGTAGTTCGTGTCGTGACGTATGACGAGTCGATGGCATTGTTGTTTACAGTCCAGTACGTCTCCGTTTGTTGGGAAATTTCCACTCCTTCCAGTCCGAAGTCTGGGATCCTATTCCGTCCTTTAGCTGCTCCCGAATACGAAAAGCGCGCTTGGATTCATCCACCACGACTTCAATTGAGCGAGCACGCTTCTTAGCATCTTCTGAATGGATAACTTGATAAACTTCTCGAGGTACGGACACTTTAACATGACGCAACAAAGGCACAAGTTCCCTAAAAAGGGAGCTGTCGTCCTGATTCACGAGTGTAAAAGCCTTCCCCGATACGTCATCCGTACGTCCGGTACGTCCAATGAGATGAACGTAGTCTGCAATCTTCTTGGGGAAGTCATAGACGACCACGTTCTCTACGTTTAGTAAATTCATCCCACGACTCAGCACGTTCGTGGACACGAGAACGGGGATCTCCAAGTTCACGAACGATTCAAGCAGCTTGAGTCGTTCTTGCTGCGTTTTATCCGCGTGAATGGCGGCTGCGCAGACTCCACAGCGTTTTTCCACGGCTTCGGCCAGCATCGTAGCGCCAATTCTCGAGCCAACAAAGACAAGCTATAACACCAGCAAGAATCACGGCATTAGCATACTCGCAGCTTCTCCAGAGCCCACCACTACTGCACGCACCGTTGATTCTTCGCCTTTCCCCTTCAAAAACTCGAATAATTGGCTCTTTTTCGCTTTATTCTCCGCCCACCGAACGTCGTGGCTCACACTTGGATTCAGCGAATAGCGCGGTGTTCGGTTGGATCCGCTATCGTCTATACGAACATCTATACGCGTATAAGAGCGGTCGCTTGGACGCTTCAGAATCTGCCGAACCAGAGCTTCAACCTCATCCGAAACGGTAGCGCTGAAGAAGAGGAATTGGGTATCTTTTCCAGCTAATAGAGCCACCATTTGAGAAATCTGCGGTCGAAAACCCACGTCCAGCATGATGTCGACTTCGTCGATCACGCACAAGCGAACAGCAGGCAAGATGGCGTCGCCTCCGCTGTAGTTCGTAAAGATATCGAGAAAACGACCCGGTGTAGCCACAATCAGTTGGACGCCACTTTGAAGCCGATAGCGCTGCGTCGGAACGGGAAAACCGCCCACCAAGAGCGCAGTCTTCATATCTGCTATACCCCGCATCAACATCTTGGCCACAGTTTCAATCTGGATCGCCAGCTCTCGAACAGGAGCCAAGACCAACACCAGAACCTCCTCCTTCTCGTCTCTGGCGTGTAAGATCTGTGCGATTGCTGGGATCAAATACGACGCCGTCTTACCTGTTCCTGTCGGGGCGCTCACCAATATCTGGTAAACAGTTAGCTGTCAGCATATCAGTTATAATGCTTCATTTTACGGTACTTACATTGTGTCCCTCTAGCACGCAAGGAATCGTTTGCATCTGCACGGGTGTCGGTCTCTCGAATCCATTGGCATTGAGGTTAGCTAGCAATAATTGAGGCAATTGCACGCCTTCCTGCGGTTGCGCGAAGTCCACCAATGGAGTTGGCCATGACTGGGCGCTTTTCACCGTCTCAGGGGCAGATCCAGCGGTGATTTTGATCCCTAATTTACGTCGAAGCTCTTCAGATCGCTGGGCTTGTTGTCTATCCTGTTGGAGCTTCGTCTCGTGTCTGGATATACAGAGATCGCGGCATTCGAGACTGCAGACGTCTTCATCTGTGGCATCACACACGTATTCGCCGTATTTACCGCAGACCTGCACGTGCAATGCTTTAGTTACTAAATAAAATGTATTACATATGACTGTATGCTCTTCTTACCGCGCACAAAGGCTCGCCAGGTTGCGGTTGACGCTGGGCAGCGCTATGCGGAACAATGGATGAAGTGTCCGCCATTTTGACCAACCAAAGAGGCTGAGAATTGAAGGTACACCACTGCGCCACTTAGTACAGTTACTTAACCATCGCTCAAGGAATCACACATGTACGAATGTCCTCGTTGTCTCGAGAAAGGGGCTATTAATAATCTCCGACAATCGGTTCGATTGATAGGGAAGGTATAAACATCTACGAAGACTCCGTTTCGTGTTTTTAGTTTTTTATTGATGACGTGGGAGCGTGTGCTAAATGAAGAGCCAATTGATTGTCAACCAAAGAAGATGAGCCTGGTATTTCAGCTTACCCCCCTGCTCGTGCTTTTGTCCCTTGACATTCTCTCTTTTCACCTCGGTACAGTCGCTTACTCCAGCGCCTTCTTGGCCTCGCGAGCCTTGCGGCGGCATTCGCGGTCAAGCAGGTCGCAGTTCGACTCAGGCCACGGGAAGGGCTTGGTGCGCATCTTTAGGTACGGGTAAGCGGGAGTCTTCTCCTCGTGGTGCTCGTGGCTTAGGTGGTCACCGATAGCGTACACCGTGTACACTCCGACCAGGCCGATCATGCCCTTGGAGATTGTGCGCCATCGGTACATCTGCTCCTGGGCCTCGTGCTCCGTAGCGCTCGACATGTTGCGGGCACCAGCACGGAGCGACTGGGTCATAAGACGTGATCCCTTGTTAAGAAGCGACTGCATCAGCGTAGAGAGAGGGTGTTAGTGGCCTGCATGCAGCGATTTAAACGACCCGTGCCTCGCTTCCGGCGGTGCAGTCCTCACCATTGTAGAGCGACGTGCTGCTTGCTAAGCGATACAAGAACTGAGAGGCGGAGGGGGAGCTCAACGAGCGGCTACGATTGTAATACTGCATAACAACTTTTTTATGCATTAAATGAATTCATTGGTCGAAAAGCCAGTGTTACTTCAGAGCTCACTTCAACTTGCTTGATCAATGATCAGATACCCAACCTCTTCAATGAAGGGCCCCGCTGGTTCGATTCGAGCTCAGAGGGCATATCTCCTAGGGGGTCAATGGGCCCGGTTAGGATCCGACCGTCGCGCGACTGAGATGAGGGCAAAAACAGCGTCAATATCGTCAACACCAAAGAAATAATACTGTGAGCGTTTGAGTTACCTTGATTGCGGGACTTTGTCGACGCGCATGGGGCGGATACATCTGCGCTCTTATGTAGGCAGATCCAGGGCGCGAGAAGGACGAGATCTACATGTAGCAATAAGGCTTAGGTCCCGTGTGTAGCCACACTTAGGTGCGCACAGGGCTTACACTCTCGTGTTTGTCGCTCAGCTGGACCTCCTCAGGTTGCTCCTGGATTTTGCGAATGATTCCTTTCGCGACAAGGTCCGACTTGAGACTCTTCGTGTGGCCTTGCGCTGAGCAGAGAGAATAAATATCAAAGAGGCATTATATAAACAAATATATGGGCTGATGTACCGGCGAAGAAGGGCCAAATGGCCTCCGAGATGCTGGCGTAGTCCATTGCTCTTCGTCCTTCCACGTCGACCATTTTCGGGTCAGCTTTGTGGGCCAAGAGAATACGTACAACTTTTCCGTGCTCTTGAAAAGATGCCGCATGTAGAGCTGTCCACCCCGTGCCTTACCGCCAGGTAGTGTACGTCAGCTAATCTACCCAAAAAAAAGACCACATGTAGTAGTAATAAAACAAGCATACCTTCGTTTCTAGCAGATACGTCGGCGCCTTTGTCGAGTAAAAAGGCGACCATGGCATCATTTCCCCAGAGAGCAGCAGCACATAGTGGAGTCGTTCCATCTAGCAGTTAGCAGTAGCCATCAGTGACTTTGTTTTATTTCACAAAGCACAATTAGAGGCCAACCTTTCCCTGGGGTATCGATTTGCATGCCGTTGTCAAGTAAGAAATCAACCTAGTGGGTTGTCACACAACCTCGGTTACGCTTACTACAGACAAACGTCGACACTGCGAGCGTACCATTCCACGAGAGCCGTTGGCTGCTGCCTCTGCAAGGTCAATGTGCGAGCGAATCACTCCTTCTTGTGCCCGCTGGTTGTCAACGTGTGCCATAGTTCGTATCTTTTCTTCCAAGAGAACTTCTTAAGCAATGACGAAGTCGAAACGGATTGTGACGCTTCACAACAATGCAAAAGCACAAAATTGTTGAAAAGCAATGATAGATATTCGGCATGTTTTGTTACGATGTGGTTAAATTCTCCAGACATTTCGCGATCGATACACGATAAACGTTCGTGCCATGCATCGTCGTCTTGCGTCGTGATGAGTGATGTAGATGCCGCTCAACGAAACTCGGGTCAACAATCAAGTTTCCCGAAACGTCAAGTGAAATTTCAGTCCCCACATGCTGATACAGTCCCCACTGGTAACAATAAAACAAAAACACAAGAAATACGTAAGTAAAAGACTTCATCGACGAAGCAACAACAACAACGTAGACGCACAAATCTCGGCCAACCCGGTACGATGTCGCCGTCCATGACAACTCGGTAGCTTGTGGGGACACAGCTGTCGTAGTGCTGACGGAAGCTCGGGTTGCCCACGCGAGGTCCGCCGAAGTTGTACATGTTGACTTTGATGCTGAAATTTACAGCAAGGTCGTACGCCGCTATAACCGCGAGAGCGCCGCCCATACTGTGGCCTGTGATATACACCGAAATTCCAGGATTCTCGTCTAGAATGAGTCGCGTCACCTCCTTCAGTTCGTCTTGGATTGACTCGTACGCCAACCAGAATCCTACACGACAGCACAGAACTTAGACAACAGCTACATTTATTACACGCATCAAGGTCAACTTACCCCGATGTACTCGTGGCAACGCCATGTTCAACAAAGGGATCTTCGCAGCGACATCCTTGACTTTTTCAAGACACGATTTCCTCCAACGCAGCCCTCGAGATTTTATCCACAGCACCGTCTGGTCCGCTCGAAGGTTGCTCTTCCAGTTGGCTTTACTGGTTGTGCCTCGGAAGGATATGACTAATCGTCGATGATCTTCTTGGCTCCAAGCGACGACGACGTGTGTATCCGTGAGGTTACTTCGTAGATGAGTGATCAGCTCAAAGCCGTATCTCTCCAGTGCGAGTTCACCGTACCCAGACGACGACGGACACCCAGGAGGATCGAAGTAAGCTTGATACGCCAACTCCAGCAGCCAACCAGCCGTCTCCACGCAAAACAAATTCGAATCCGGTGTAAGGAAGCCGTACGAGTCCACGCGCGGCTTCTCTTCGACATGGAACGCAGTGGAGGTTAGAAGTCCCGTACTGTCTCCCGCAAGTGGAGGCAGATGCACGAACATGACCAAGTAGACATACACCGACAAGAACAGGAACTTCCCCAGTGATGGATGACCCGTGTGCATCTTAGCGAAAGTATGGACTGAGTCTTGGATGAACGCATCGTAGCCGACGAAGTACCACGATTGAGTCAGGTGGAAGATCAGGAGAGCTGACAGCAACAAGGTGTAGACGAGAATAAGCAGCGTCTCCAGTACGAGGAATCGATACGACAGCTGCTTGAAGCGCGTTGCCATGTACGGTAATGCCTTCAGATAGCGACCCGATCTTGCTCCAACTGTCAAGATCCACGCGAGCCAAAACAGCACTAAACTCGTCCGAATGAAGCCAAGAAGCGCATACAGCTCTTTGAGGTGGAAATCATGAGTCGATGATGCTTCTTCCGCTCGGAAAAATAACTTTGGCATCCGTAGCACAGTCATATACGTGTCCACCGCGAAAAGCACCAAGCCAAAGAGAACTTTCGTGCCAAACGAACATCGTCGAGAAGAGAAATCTCCACTGTGCTGGTCCATCAGACTCAGCCAAAACACGTAGAAGAATGCCTCTGCAAATGATTGGCACGTGATGGATACGAATCGTGTACGCATGCTCACAGTGGTGTACAGCTCAGATACTGCGTACACGGGGTTCTGCCAGAGTACGAGCGCGACACCGACGCCCAGCAACCATTTTTGCACTGTAAGAACTTGACTCCACCCACCGTGGAAATTTAACACTGAAATGAACCAACAAGGAAGCGCCAAGATGGATACAAGCACCAACACCCCACGAACAACGACTTCGCCCACATGAATAGCTGGTTTCCTACGGATAAAACGCGGTGACAAGAGCAATTAATACACGACCAACAACAAAGAATACAATGGTATGCGTACGTGTATGCAAACTCGTAGACCACGTTCTTGCCAAAGACATTCGGATAGAGTCCCCTGAAGGTCACGACAGCGAAGTATGCGTCGTATCCACTGCCACCCTGAAACAACCAATATTCGTCGTAAGTACGATAAAGCGAGAAGCCACTGCTTTGCGCTTACCAGTCGGTCCACGTCTTGCGTAATCTCCATGATCCTCACAATTTCACATGGACCTGCTGATCGACAGCTGACCCAAATACTCTGATTGCGTTCGTCTACAACAAGGTCCTTCGTGGCTGGTGTCACGTCGTGGTCAATGCCGTACAGTCTGGCATCATAGGTCAGCACGTATCCTGCGTCTTGCTCCACCTCTTCGTCCTCAACCTCGGAGATACTCGTCGCTTGATTCGCTAAACTATTTTTCACTCCTCGGTTCATCGACCATGCAGCCCCCACCCGCTGTAACTCTTGGAACGTATTGCTATTCTCTAGCGACGACAGCGTTTCTGACAACGTTGAAGTGTTCACCTGCTCCCGAACGTCAAGCTTGATCTCGATAGATCCGGTATACCGTGAGACGTTGGTCACATAGGCAGCCCATTGAGCGATATTCCTCGTCTTGTCCACCTGAATACAGGGCTCTCTCCTCATTTCGTCCTTGCATACTGCTCCTGACAACTCGATCGTCTAAAGTTGAAGTGCACAGAATCAGATAATCTTCGAGACTAATTTCTGATTCTATAAGATTCACCGCACCGTTTCCAGGTATCCTTTGCTCTGTAAATAGGGCAGTGTCATCGCCAATAAGAACGCCAGGTACGTCATCCATAGCACTGCTGTAGCAGCTCGTGATGACAGCGTTTCCAGGCGAATTTGTGGCTCGAATACATGTCTCTGTTTCTGATTCTCAAGTAAGCTGGTGGCAGTAGTCTCTACTCCTAATAGAGGCGCCGTCGAAGATGCTGTAGGCATCCTCGAGTGCATCTCGTACGAGTCGCGGAATAGCTCCGAAGACGCATAACCAGTGGACTGGAACAGTAGCGGGCGATACACGCGTTCTTCCTCCGCATCTTCCTCGCCCAGTGCCGCGCCGCCCTGCCGGTCAAGCGGCATCTTGAATCTGATTCCAGAAAAGTGATTTCACCTTATTTTGGCCAATAAGAAATAGTTCAGTTATCGAATTTCGTGTGAAAATCTCAAGTTGAAGTTGTCTTTTTAACTCTACAGGAAGTTGCCCCACTGTTCATCCGAAGCTGGGGTGGTCTCGGGGGCTCTCATTTGCTCTGGTTGGCTGCGCGCGAAGGAAGACATGCTGCGGTCCGTGGGTACGCTCACGTCTTTGTGGAAGCTCGTGGTGGATCGCACGTCCGGCGTGAAGGTTGAGGCGGCGCTGCTCATTGGCCGATCTATCGGTTGCATGGGAGCAGGTACAGGAGTGGAGAATGCGTCGTCGAATGGCGATGGGGCTGTTGGCAATGGTGCTGCAGTATTGGCTGCGTTGCTGAGTGGTGTGGACGTGTGGACAGGCTCGCGTTGTGGTACTGGATCGTTGCAGAGACGCACGTGATCTCCGCTAAAGAGACGAGTCGTGTCTCTCGGCCATTTTTTGAACTCTCGGATGTTTTCACTGGTTGACCGAACTTCCAGAACACCCGACCAACTAGAATCGGACTCGAGGGTCATTGTCAATACAGCGGTGATGTATGATCCCCATCGTGTCTGAGTGACCATAGCAATCTGAAAAGTACATACAGAGAGTCAGTGTGAACACGATAGAAATCAATACAGCGGTCAACGTACGTGAAAGTGCATCGGCAGGTCGAGTAGCAATTCGGAAACAACAGCCAGCTTTGCATTCATGACGTGGAGTGCGTGCTGGCAAGCTCCGAGTTTCTGTGCTTTTGATTCGGGAGCTTTGACTCGCCACAAGACACCCGAGTTAGCGCTACAGTGCAGTGGGCATGCAGTTAACGATGATGAACAACTTAACAAGTAGGAATCACGCCATTATACCTTTGCCAGCAGTGCCGGAAGAATGAACCAGTCGCAATTTGAGGCTGCGGAAGTCGCAGTAACGTGTCGAAATGCAGCACGTATCGGTCACTGAATGCCAGATAGATTGGCGTGGGAGATGTCTCCTCAGCAGGAATGTCCCCCATCGTGTCTCCGTCTTGGCTAGGATCTTGGACTAGCACTGCTTGCAGCAGGAGCGTAACTTGTGTGAACTTACATACTCGGAACTTCTTCTGAGCTTTAATCACACCAAATGGCGGTAAGCTCGTGCAGCCTCCACTTGTACCAACACTGACGGTCTCTCCAGAACGTAACATACGTAACTTTAAATCTTTCGATGTATCCACGCATTGAACAACCCCGACACCCCCAAGCGGGCGGAATTGGATTTCCAGATCGCTCAAAGCCCAAGTAGTGAGATTGCAGCAACTGACATCCAGTGTAACCACATCTTCCTTCTTAGACAGGAAGTGGTGGTGAGATATCCGGATGGAGACGGGGTCAGAACTACCGGAAACAGTGATCGGCTCTCGATATTCTTCATCGTTAGGACGGTCCATGTCTTCAACGTGTTTCCGTGGTAGGAAAATGTCTCGAGGGTCGAATATTTCTTTCGAAAAGTGAGTTTCCGGTGCTGATGCTAAATTTGTTGGCGGTGTCGAAAGCTGTGCCATTACATCTTCAATCCTACACAACACAGAGACATACAACGTATTGAGTAAACCAAGACTGCATCAGAGTACCAGCTTAACGCTTAAACGTACACACGGTACTGCTGGGATGTGATCGCGGGGGGACTTCCCGCTGCTGATAACGTTGCGATCATTTTCTCGCACAGTTGGAGAAATTGTGGCTGCGTTTGTGGCTGAAGCTGAGCTAGTAGTGTAATGCAGTCGCCAATGACCATCAGTGCGTCGACGTTGTTAGCATCGCCTGCGCGCTCCCGACTTCCAGGTATTTCCTCGACACCGGCACCAAGTAAACCATCGTCGAAAGTGGCTCCTTCCATCTCGTCGTCGTCATTCCAGATAGCAGTGAACAACCGGCCAGTCTCGCACTGGAGCTCTCGCACTAGAGCGTCGAAAGGTACGTGAGTAGAGTAATTACGATGGAGACGAACGCCAATCCAAAGTATTTGAAGACGGGCACATTGAGACGCGATCTGGGCCATGGTAGGGAGCAGTTCTTGCTGGAAAAAGTCTAAAGACTCACGAAGTGCAAGCTCGGGACACGCCAGCATATCCTGGAAATGGGAGGTTAGTAATCCTGTGTAGTACACGATGTTCTCGCTCATCTCGCAAGAGCGAAGATACGCCTTTGGCGAGGTAGTAGCTGAGCCACCTAATTTCAGTAGCAAGAGCCCTCGAAACACTCTCAAAGCAATAAGCTGCGATATTTGATGCTCCACATTACGTCGCGGTGGTGACGACAGCTCGATCGTATTGGAAAGAGCTTGAAACAGTGCTCGAAACACTTCGGAGCCATTCGTTCGTGGTGATAGCCGTGAGAACCCTCTGGGTTGTCTGAAGAATGCCATTGTGCACAATCCTTGGAGCAGTTGAAAGTCTCGATTGACGACAACATGCTCGACGATCGTGTCCATGAGCGTCTGCACGAGATCACGTCGGTCTTTGTCATGATCCAAAAGGTAAATCGCTTCAGTTGTACGCACGAAGAGCGACTGGCAGTTGACGCCAGATAGCCAGGCAAAGGTTTTCACCAACATCCCACAGAGCTCAAGCTTGAGCTCGGAACTAGAGACACCGTTATTGTTGCTTCGGTTGGCAAGATAGCACTGTGCGATCAAGTGGTTGGCCAGTTGAGCGGCCCACCGCATGCGAGTGAACGTCTGTAAGGGGTGCGCCAACAGAATGAAGATAGCTCGACACATATTCGTAGCCTGAGCCAGCGACACGCGTCTGGATACGGTAGGAAATGCCCAGGATTCGAGCAGACCACGCACGAGTTCATCCACCCGAACAGGCTCAGTGGAAGCATGAGGCGCGTCGTCGTCATCTCCGTCTTCGATGTTGTTATCTTCGGTATCAATTTCCATGTACGGCACACTCACACTGGGACATCTCGCCCCACTCCGTTCCATCATCGTGTAAAGTAGCATCGAAATCCACAGCATCGCGTCTGGCTGCTGCTTCATGGGTAGACTACGTGCTGTAGCTATCAGCGCTCGAATGCGTGGGAAGGCTTGCTTGTAGACCACGGAAGTGACATCATCGATAGGTGCTTGGACGCGGAGAGATTCCTGAATACTCGGAAAGAATGGAGCCATCGTACTGGAACGTGCGAACAAGCTCGTTAAAGCCGTAAATGCGGTACCAGCAGCCCAAGGAGCACTCTGAGATTGCCCGTCAAATGACAGGGTGTGGAAGATGAGCTTCCAACAATCGTTGACCATCGTCTCCAGATCTTGCTGACAGCAAATTCGTGCCTCGTGCGACTCGAATGGGAAGACGAACAGTCCGTCCCCAGCGACATTGATAGCCACGTCTAACGTTAATTGCGACAGCGTCGTAATAGCGTTGCAGTGAACTTCGATATCCTCGTGAGTCAGAATTGAACGCAGCTTATTCATGGGCTCCCTTTCGGGAGTCAGCAAAAAGCCAAGCACAAGAGGCAATGGAACCTGTCTAAGTACTGGGATTGCAGCGGCCAACGCTGACGTATTCTCGGAACTGCCCAGCTCGTTCACAACCGCTTCCATGATGAACTTCCAGACTTCGTGTGTGGAGCAGCCAGGACCAATTCCAGCGAGTTGAAACCCAAGAATTTTCATAGCGGGGATGCCTTCCGGCTTTAGACATTCCTGCGTGTGTGAATCAAGAGGTTAGAGTCTGTCGAACGTTTTCGGTTAGCGTCCTTACCTCCAATCCCTCGCGATATTCACGTAAAGTCAAAGCATTCGGTCTGACAGAAGCGAGTTGTAGCAACTTTTGCACCTGAGCTTGTGCTCTCTTTGTGCTGGTAGCCGAATCTCCGCCACCACCTAAGCTCTCCTGTAGCATCTTGTACACAAATGCTGTTGATCGTTACTATGGGGGCGAACGATCCTTGGGTTGCCAACGTCCTTTGGTAAAAACGACTGGTGACATAAGGATGGCTACATCTTAGTTCTCTTATTTCTGTTGAGAATTCTTCTAATCTAAGATTATTTGAGATTGGGTCTCGTCGCTGAGAGTGTAGGCCTGAAGTGTGCTGCTTTAAGTGTTGGAACTCTCAACGTCCAACTCTTTCCTAATGCAAATAGCTGGCTTATGCTCTCTGTTCAAGTAGCCTCTACAGAAATCTGCCTGAATAAGGAACGCCTGATATAAATTAAGAAAGAGATTGCATAAGCTGACAATGCCTCGCTAAGAACATGTGCATGTATTGAATTATGTTAGGATAATTGGCAGTGCTGAATCGTGGAAGCGTTAACTTTAGACCATGCAGCCTCGCACCAGAGCAGTGCAGTTAGCTGGTCGACGTTGTACGAGTTATCGAGACCTTCGCCTAGGTGATCCAATGCGAACTCAGTTTTTTGCGATAAGATGTAGCTTTAATGCTGTTGATGATCCTGATCCAGCGGCTGGATCTTGGCGGTGGTGTTCGGGGATAGCTTCTCAACACGGACATTGCTTAGTGGACGCAGTCGGCTAGTGAGCTTGAATGTAAATGTAGGAATGAAGTTCGGCTCGTAGGGCTTGAAGCGAAGGAGGATCATCTACTGCGCACCATTTTTTAAATTGAAATCAAAGTCAGTGCCTGGATTGTTGTCAGTACCTTGCCCATCACTATCCCATCTCCCTAAATCTTTCCCGACTATAAAAATTGCGAGGTTATTAATTGAAACCCCGTTCCTTATTCAGGCAGATTTCTGTAAGCAGTTTGATTACCTTGACCTAGTTACTCCAAGATATTATAATGAGATTTAGGAGGTCCTGTTTAAGTCGGTATGACTGGCTTAAACTATACAAACACTAATGGCTGGTGTGCAGCTATTGGTGGCTTCCTAATACTAATAAAGTGCTCACTTCGTCCTTTGACGCCTACAAACAACGTCTTCTTCTTCTCTCTACCTATTCTCGACCTGTCATACGAGCTATAGGTTATGAGCCCAAGCCAAGCCTCAAGCGACGACTTCCCACGTCTCATCGGCGCCGAGAATTTCGACGTCTGGAAAATTCGTGTGTGCGCAGCACTAGATGACAAGCACCTACTCGGCTACGTGAAGCAGCCCGATTACGACGGTGTGTCTGAAGACGAGAGTGAAGACAGCGGCAGCGATATGTCTGATGCCAACGATGAACCGCATGCCAAAACTACCAAGAACGTCGAAATCAACTCCGACGCTGTGGACTACGACGAGAGCGACGACGAGCTCAAGCCGCCCTCGGACTCGGACGAAAACTCTGGAGCCAGCTGTGATTCGTCAATCAAGAGGAAGGACCTCCCGGTAGTTCGATCGTTTAACCATCGCGAGGCTCGCCGTGCACGCAAACGCGCCAAGAAAGAGAAGCGCCAGCCTCTTAGCCAGCGCGAACGCCGTCGACAAGAAGCCAAGACCAAAGCCTTCTTGATTAACAAGATGGACAACATGCACGTACGGCTGGTCAAGAATCTCACGACATCCTACGAGATGTTCAACTACATCTGCCAGAAGTACGAGGGAGCAGCCTTTTATGGTGATCCGTACTTCATTCAACACTACTTGATGAAGATCAAGTACGAGGAAGGTTCCGACTTAACTGAGTTCTTTCTAAAGCTTGAGAACGCGATGAAAGCCGCGTCAGAAGCCACCGAATCGGTGATGACCGATGGACAGAAGTCTATCCACCTGTTCCACTCGATGCCCAAGTCGTGGAAGGACGATCTCCGCATCTGGAAGGGTCAGCGGAAGTATATCCTGTATGAAGACCTCAAGCAGAGCATTGAAGGCAAGGTTCGCGATCTTCAAGCTCAAGATCGCTACACCTTGGCCAAGGGCACACCAGAGTCCTCTGCAACCAAGGGTGAGCGAGCTCTAGTGGCTACCGGACCTCCTGTGTCACAAGCCCAAGGCCGTGACAGCGCCAATGTCTGCTTCTACTGTGATCGCCCACGCCACAACATTCGCCAATACCGAGGCCTTCAAAATGATTTACGAGATGGACGAGTTAAAGCTGGGACAGTGCTACCTGCTAACTTCGCCTTCAAGGGTAACTCGAAACGCGATCACCCGTACCAGAACTCGAACAAAAGTGGCAATGGGCGACACGGCAAGAAAAACAGCAACCGCGACTTCAAGGGCAACAACAGTAGTAGCAAGAACAAGCACGGAAATGGCGGCAAACAACGCGGTCAAGATCGCTACAAGGACCGCCCGCTTGAGTCATACAATGACGAGGAAGATGACGACGACAGTGATTCTGGAAACAACCGCAAGGTAACTCGCCAAGGACGTCGTGACACCGGTCTCATCGCTGTTGCTACCACAGTCAATCTCCCGTTTAGCCTCACTGCTCAAGCCAAGATAGAACCCGACCCCACCTGGACAATCGACTCTGGCTGCACTCGACACGTCACCCATGAGTCTCAGTGGTTTACCGACATCACCTCCAGTGGTGGATCCATTACGGTTGGTGGTAATAACCAAATCCCCATCGAAGGCATTGGACGGGCCGATCTGGGAGTCACTGACTCCAAGGGGACTATGCCGAAGCTTATCCTTCATGGAGTCCTGTATGCCCCCCAGCTCCGATTCAGTCTGCTTTCAATTCCAGCAGCTGTGAAGCACGACTTTCGCTTCAACTTTGACCGCAAACAGTGCCCTATGCAAACTGACCAGCGCTTCAAGATCAAAGCGCTCATGGCTACCAACACGGATCTGTAGCAGTTCCAAGCCAAACCAGCGGCACCTTCAGCGGCTCTTATTGCCTCAGGTAAGCAACGTTCCTTTCTGCTCTTACACAAACGCCTTGGACACCCTAACGTTCGTGTCTTGAATGACCTATCTAGGAGTCAGGCCATACATGTACTCGATGGATCTATACCTCTAGGTTCAAAGGCAGAATTCTTTTGTGCTGCCTGCACGTTAGCGAAGGCACACCGCTCCCCATTTACTCTAATAAAGTTGTTAAACGTGCTACATCACCTTTGTCAAAAGTCCATTCAGATACCTGTGGTCCACTACCTGTGCCTAGCCTTACTGGTTGTCGTTACTTCTTGATATTCATCGATGACTTTTTTCGATTCATGTTCACTTATGCAATTAAGAACCGTAGCGAGTTGTATGGCTGTTACGAAGACTTCAGGAAGAAAGCCCTGAATATTTTCAGACAAGATATATCTGTCATAGAGTACGCGCTCAGTGTTGACGACAATGCAAACCAGAGTAAATTTGAGATTCAGCGGCTTCAAGCAGACAACGCTAAAGAGTACGAGAAGATTGGCCGCATCATATTTAAAAATATGGAACTCACGCCCAGTTTACCAATGCATACACACCTCAGCAAAACGGAGTTGCAGAACGCCGCATGCGTACCATTATGGAGCGTGTCCGAGCCCTTCTACTTGACGGCAAGCTACCGAAGCAGTTATGGGCTGAGTGTGTCTGTCATGTGACCACTCTCATCAATATGACTCCTAGCTCCAAGACGGATGAACAAACCCCGTACGAGCTTTGGCACAACCGTATTCCATCCATGCAGTACATCAAAGTATTCGGATGCAGCGGATATGTCCACATCACGGAGCAATACCGAGACAAACTCGACGCTAGAGCCCGTTTGTGTATGTATCTTGGTGTATCTGACCATAAGAAAGGCTACCGTCTGATGGACATCAATACTCATGCAATTATCTAAAGTCGTGATGTAGTCTTTAAAGAGGACGAATTTCCCTCTCTCACAGGCCTGACGTCTACTCCAGAGCCCACACAGTTCACGAATCGGCAGAAATCTACCGCTACACTTGCACCTGTACCTCTGCCACCTGCAACCGCTACTACAGTAGCACCGGAGCCTGAACATGTGTTAGAACCAGTGACCACAACGTCACCCACATCAGGCCCTGCAATGACAACAGCGCCAGGCACAGTGAACCAACGTGTACTGCCCTCACTGAGGGAGGCTGTTGATCGAACAGCCATACATTATTCTTTTCGAACAGAGACGGACTCTGATCCTCCGCATCATTCGACTCCTAAGCGACCCCGCCTCTCTGCGGAAGCCATTGATAGCTCTGAGGAAGCCAATGACGTAACCATCAACTCTGAGGAGGACATACACGAACAGGAGCAACGTCAGCATTTAATGTACACATTACTAGCTATTCGGTATGTGTCTGAGCCCACTACGTATCGGGGAGCAATGAAGTCTTCCCACGCTAACCAGTGGCGTAAAGCAGCTTAATCGGAATACAAGTCCCTCATGGGCAATCACACTTGGGTGTTGGTATCCCCTCCTAAAGGAAGGAAGCTTTAAGGTAGCCGATGGATCTTTGTTGTAAAGTATACCGGCTGGCGAAATCGACCGCTTTAAAGCGCGTCTTGTGATCAAAGAATTCCTTCAGGAATATGGCATCGACTACAACGAGATATTCTCTCCTGTCATCAGGATGGAGGTACTTAGACTACTTCTTACTATTGCAGCTCTTCTCGACTGTGAAGTTCACCAAATGGATGTTAAGACAGCTTTCCGGAATGGTTATTTGGAAGAGGAGATTTACATGGCTCAACCGGAAGGTTTCAAAATCCCGGGCAAGGAGCACCTAGTGTGTAAACTTCCTAAGAGCTTATACGGGCTGAAGCAAGCGCCCCGTGTCTGGTACCAAACCCTGACTGCCTTCCTAGAGAGTCTTGGGTTCCTAAAACTTATTAAAGATCGATGTGTCCTTCGACGCACAGTTGGTGACATCACCTGTTACATTGCAGTGTACTTTGATGACTTACTGATTATTGCGCCAACACCAGCACTCGTCAATGAGCTGAAATCAGCCCTGAATAAGCGATTTTTCATGCCAGATTTAGGGGAGGTGAAGTACTTAC